AAAGAAATAATATATGACAGATTTTTGCCTGAATTTATAACTGAGTCAGCATCTTTTATTATAAATAATAATAACTTCATATTTGATAAACAGTAATTTTACCAAAAAACTCGTTCAGCCATCCCAGCCGGCTCATTAAGTTGTAAATGCACATTTAAAACTTGTTTGAATACACATTATTCTGGTATGTATTTTAGCCATTTTATACTGTCAAATGCGCAATAGAAATACACTTCAGATGCGTTTAAAAACAAGTATGAAATTGGAATCCTACTGAGTATTATACTCACATTTAAAATTCTTGTAAATACGCATAAAACACAGTAATTTGATATTATTCAATAAGGTATTTTCTTGGTATTAAATGCGCATTTAAAACTTTTTAGAACACGTGTTATTCATGAATATATGTTAGCCATTTTACTGAGTAAAAGATGTACCAGAAATCGTTAAAGACGCATAGATTATTGGAGACATAACACGCATCTGAAACGTGTTTTTATTAAATGTATATACAAACACGCAAACGCATCGGCTCTAAAAATAATAACAAAAAACTAATACTTGTAAATTTTAATAATTTAGCTTGCCCAGTGTTCAATATACACATCTATATTATAGTTTTTATAATATAATAAAAACAAATGTTATATTATTTTTATAATAACAAAATTGCACCAAAATCCTTTACTAATGTTCTAATGCATTATTTACCTTGTATTATATAAATGTATTATTTCTTACAATTTCTTATAATTACTGTTTATACAACAAAAAATATATATATAAAATTTTAATTTCTTTAATTGGTTTGAATTAAGGGCGCCGCTCTTCATTTTTGACCCTGGTGCCAACGGCGCTCTCGAAGGCCCTGGCCAGAGCGGATTTTTTGGTCGTTGAGATAGCTAACTTCCGGACATGGAGCAAACTCCGAACATTTATATGTCCATACCTATGTCAAATAAAAATGCTTTGCAAAAAATTGCAATGATTATAGCCTGGGAACAAAAAAGCCCTAACATTTTAGCTACACCTGCCCCAAACGTGAGAGCAACGAGTTGATAAAATATTTTTTCTACTATTTTGAAACCAAATATATATTTATCGATAAATTTTAAAACTCGCACAATAATCTATTAGCGTTCAACAGTTATGGCCTTATAAAATTTGCAACCCTCTCAAATTGAGGGGGGTTAAAACTTTTGATTGTCATAGTTTTTGAACGCTAAAAGATTTTTGTGTGAATTTTAAAAGTTGTGGATGAATATAGATTTAGTTAAGAATAGTATAAAAATTATTTTATCAACTTGTTGCTCTCACGTTTGGGGCAAGTGTAGCTAAAATTTTAGGGCTTTTTTTGTTCTCAGGCTCCAACCATTGCAATTTTTTGTTAAGCATTTTTATTTGATATAAGTATAAACATATAAATTTTTGGAGTTTGCTCCATGTCTGGAAGTTAGGTATCTCAAACATCAAAAAATGCTGCATCCGCCCCTAATAGCTCTGACGTTCATCGAGCACTTTCTTGGTAGTATATGCACGAAATAGCATCACTACATATATATATATATATATATATATATATATATATATATATATATATATATATATATATATATATATATATATATATATATATATATATATATATATATATATATATATATATATAATATATATATATATATATATATATATATATATATATATATATATATATATTATTATTATTATTATTATTATATAATATATATATATATATATATATATTATATATATATATACATATATATATATATATATATATATATATATATATATATATATATATATATATATATATATATATATATATATTATTATTATTATTATTATTATATATATATATTATTATTTATATATATTATTATATATTATATGTTTTTATATGATTTAGAAATCATAAAAACAGGGGGGGAGGGAGAAAGTTGAGTAGCGCCTATATATATATATATATATATATATATATATATATATATATATATATATATATATATATATATATATATATATATATATATATATATATAGTTTGTGGTCGACATCCAGCAAACAGATAACTTTAACAACCAATCTCTATCTTAATCTTCGGGTTCTCATTCTGATCCTCAATCATCATGCTCCACGTCATTCAGCTTTCTTAATGAATTACAAACAAGGGTATTTTTTCTGAAGATATTATTAGTTGCAAGCAAAGACACCTCAATGATTCTTTTTCTGTTCCTTTTCCATTAACTCCTTTTTGTTTAAACCAATTTTGTAACCCCAATTGATGTTATCAATAATCAAACTCAACCATATTCAACAGCAAATTTATTTTCAAATACCAGTCAGTTGTCAGGCATTTTGAACTCAAAACGAAAGGTATTTTCATGTAAATGTAATTTCTGTACTTTTACAACTTTAAGGTGTTGTTTAATAAAGATCACTTACAAATTCATGAAAGCAAATCTTTTGCTAATGTTTTTGTTAGTATTAATGTTTCTAAACTAAAATTTTGCTGTGAAATTTTATCATCTTAAAATTGTCATGAGAATTATTTTGTGACAGAATTCACAATATTTTTAGTTAAATCTGTTGGACTGAAGAAAGATTGTATTGTACCATTATCAGACACATTGTCTTTCGCACTTCAATCTCCTGAGATTGCTGAATTTATTGATCATAAAAATAGTATAGCTATTTACTGTAATAATCTCGGTATCACAAATTCATTTGGTGAAGCACGATCTGCTATTGTTTTGCAGTGGAAGCTATAAAAGTTTCATTTATTTATTAGTGTTATCAACATCTAGTAGCAATCATAAAGTTATAGATTTTCAAAATAGTTGTAAAAAACCAATCAAATGATTTTATATTATGCCCTGTTTTATAATGTGTTCTTAGGTGGTGACAACTTTTATTTTCAATTATAATCTCACTGATTATATCTTTTTAAAGTTATTATAAGTGACTTACATTTTAAAGATAATTTTGTGCTTGTTATCTTTTTTATTTTGTAGTCTTTAATGACACTTGGTAGCAATGGTAAGGTTATATCTTTTCAAAATGAATGTTATGACTTATAAATGATATGCGGAAATCATAAATAAAATGATACAAATGACTTAGTATGAGAAGACATCTTTTAAAGTTATTGCTCAGTTTAGTTTGTAATCTTTAGTGACAACAGCATTTAGTAACAGTGGTAAAGCTACATGTATCTTTTCTATACGAGTTTATATTTAATAAACTATTAAGGTGTCATTTGCTTATTAGACTTTATTTTATATTCTTTAGTGGCATCAACACTTAGTAGCCATGGTAATGTTATATTTTTGAAAAATTATTATAAACAACTATTCAAATTAATATATATTAACATACTTTTAATTTGTGTTATTTAATGGCTGCAACATTTATTACCGATGGCATCAACATCTGGTACCAATGGTCAAATCAAGCATCTTTTCACTGTAAGTATATAATTTATTTATTTTGATGGGACTGTCTGACTGTTTTCTTTTTTCTTTTTCTTTTATTTATGAGTGATATCAATGGCAGTTGTGACATCAATAGTAATGGCAAAATTATATCTTTTCGAAATATTTGTAAATAACCAATTAAATGTTTATGATTTTATGTTATTTTATTTGTTTTTTCAATGATAATCTTACCAATGAAGTCTTCTTTAAATCATTAGAAATGACATTTTGAAGATGTTTTTTTCTTTAGTGGCACAGCATTTTGTAGCATTGGTAAAGCTACATTTATCTTTTCAATACGAGTTTATATTCGATAAATTATTTAAGTGTCATTTGCCTATTATCCTTTTAATTTTATATTCTTTAGTGGCATCGACACTAAGAAGCTATCAGTGGCGGATTAAGACTTCTTAGGGCCCGGGGCTATTTTTGTTTTTGGAGGCCTTTTTATGAGCCAGAGCCTAAAAAAAACTTTAAAAAAAAAGCCCTCTAAAATTTTTGGGGGCCTTTAAATTTGCGGGCCCCGGGGCTATACTGCCCCTAGCCCCCCTCCTTGATCCGGCACTGGAAGCTATGGTAAATATCTTTGAAAAACAATTATAAATAACTGTTTAAATTAGTATTTATTATACCCTTTTTAATTTGTGTTATTTAGTGGCATCAAAATCAAGTAACAATGGTTAGGCTATACTTTTTCAAGTTACTTGTAAATGATCAATTAAATGAATATATATTATAAAACAAACATGATTTAAACTCGTTATCTTTTTTCGTTTTGTAATTTTGATTGGTGTCAACATCTTGTACCAAATTCTAAGGTTATATAATATATATTTTTTAAATATTTATAAATTGCGCAAATTTGTTGATTAACATTGCATATGTTTATATACTTTAGACATAGTTGTTATTATTTTTTAATTTATTTTATTAATTTTATTATATTTCTATATGTTCACAACCAATACATATAATAATAAAGTGAACATATTTATATAGTGATTATTATCTTAAAATTTTTATTTTTTTATTTTTTTAATATTGTGCTCGTAAAAATAGTATCAGTATAATAAATATAACGCCAAATATAACGCATTTGCCGTTAGGTCATCTTCTCTTCAATATAACGCCAATATAACGCCAGAGTTGAGCAAATATAACGGATAAAACTAACGCCAATATAACGCCAGTATAACGCTAATATAACGGATAACTGGCGTTATATTTGCTCATTTCTAGCGTTATATTTTTTTTTGTTATTTTAGCGTTAGTTTTTTTAGAGTGTACACAACAAATTGTGTTTAAGTCATTACAATACAAAACAAATTGAGTTGCAAAACTTAAATTTGTTTCTGTTATAATTTCTCGACAAAATATAGTTTATATCGCAAAGTATATAGTAGTATATACTTATAATTGAATATCTTTTTGCTAATGTTATGTAACATAAGACACAAAAACATCCTGCAAAAATATTGTAATAAACGGAATTATTTTAATTATTCCGTTTAAAAATTTGATAGTCATTCAAATCTCATTTTGTTGCGGAAAATTTAAATTATTTGAAATACAAGTGATTATTGTTTTATATTTACAACTTAAGACTAAATACAAAAGGTAAAGTTTGTAAATTTTATGAAAATATAACTTTACGTTGAACTTATTGTTATAAAAAGGTCACATTTAGTGGCCAAATCACCATTTAGTGACCAGGTCAACGTTTAGTTACTGTTATAATTATTTATTATATTGAAAACTGTTTTAAATTATTTTACCACATGATTTCTAAAAGTGGAATATCTTGTCATTAAATCATCATCATTTTGAGTTCTTAAAAGACTATTTTTATTTATGGCATTTGTTAAAAATAATTTCATTATTATTAGATGCGATGGAACTTTGTTGCAATATCTTTGGTGACTATTTTATCAAGTTCAAAAAGCGTTACAATAGATAGCAACGATAGCCCAACTCAATTATGTTATAGAGACTACTTTTCTTTAGCTCAAGAAAACTGCTCTTCCAATTTAACTACTAACTCTGGCTCCAATGTTGGCTCTGGCCTTACTCAAGGTTTTACCACATGTGTCACTCCTCCATGCAGTACAATGATAGTACCATCTCCGGAGGAATGCCAAACGTATATTTCTCTTTTTAAAGCAATTATAGGAGTTAGTTTTTGCGACGGGTATTTACAAATGTTAAACAGTATAAGCGAATTTATAAATTTTTCAATATGTTGCGAATAAGTTAACAAACAATAACTCCACTACATTTACTTACACATCATTAAGAACAGTTTTTATATTGTAAACAATTAATGTTGAGATGTTTTTAAATTTTAAAAAAATTGTTGGGGAATCAGGATGGAGAAAATTAGGCGGTAGAATAATTTGATTTTAAAAGAGGAAGATTGAGAAAGCGGTGGGTTAGAAAGAAGTTAAATCATGTTTATGATTGTTTTTACACTTTGAAATCTTTATGTTATAATAATAATGTTGTTCTATAATAACATATGTTGTGTTATAATAATATACATTGGTAATTACTTTTAATTTTTTTGCATCGTAATTGGTTTTTAATTTTATCTTTAAATGCTTCACTTGAAAATTGAAAATTTTGCCTCAGTTAATATACAAGTTAATATACATATATAAACGTAAATCGTTTATAAATGTGTTTTACACAATATATACATCGTTTGTATATTTTAGTTGTCATAGCGCAGTAGTTAGAATGATGATTTTGGGATCAAGAAGTATTTAATTTCATGCGCAATATAAAAACGACATTAATGAGTAGCCGGTAACAGAAACATCCTCATTAAACGCAATTCGTATTTCAGTGAAAAAATCCATTAGATTTTATTATATTACTTTATACACGTAATGAAAGCCATAGCTTAATTACAGTAGTCTACTTGTTCCCATTAAAAGCGCTTTTACACACAGACAAACAATTTGTGCCTATAATAAGGTTGCTAAATATCTCTAAAAATTCCTTTTATGATAAAAAATTGTGTTATGAAAACGGCTTTATTTCTTTATTTTATTTTATTTATTCATTTGTTTAGTCGTTATTAAGTATTTAGCCGTTTTAGCAAGTTAATTAACATTAACAATTTAAAAGTATTAACTTGGTAATGTTAATTAACTTGCTGCAAATATAATTTACAGATATAACGAACAAATATAATGAACAAAATCAAAATTGAAAGATTTTTGATGTCATAAAAGGTCATCAAAAATGAAAAATAATAATAAATATAGTTACAAATTAAAATTGTTAGTAATTAAGAAGCAAGAATTTACTCAAAAAACCATAACAACAGTCTATAATTCAAAAAAAAATTATAAATATATTTTTTCTTTGACAGTTAATCAATATATTTTTGAAATATTTGGTATTACTCTTCAAATAGTACAAATAGTATAAACTACTAACGATAAGTAAACACCTAATGACAAATCATTAAAATAGTTACTATTATTACTATCATTATTATTGCTATTATTATTATTATTATTATTATTATTATTATTATTATTATTATTATTATTGTTATTTATTTATTTATTTATTTTTCTTCTCTAGGTATACCATATAAAATATACATTTATTATCGTAATAAAAAAAAAATATATTTACAAAATTATTACGCGTCAGATTGATAAAAATACATTAATATAATATTGATTCATTAATATAATATTGATGCAAACTTTAATATAAGTTCTGGTATAATAACTATTATATATATATTTGGTTTTTCTATACTTTAATACCTAAAAAAAGGAAATCAAAGAAGATTCAGCATTTTTGGGTATAAAACTCAAAAAAAAATCTTTTTGCATGCCCTTAACAGCGCCATTTGGCGTATATCTATGTCTATATAAAAAGTTAATTAAGTAAATTTAGAAATAATTTTTTTGTAATTAGCTTTTTAATTACTATTTCTAATGTTACTATAATTTTTTTATTTATAATTTTTTTTTTTTTTTGACTTTATATAAAAAAATTTTTTAATTTATTGCAATTATTTTTACAAATAAGAATATGCAGCTTTGCTTGCCCTTTTAAATGACGATATTCCATTTATGTCTTTTAATTTTTGATTTTTCAAGTTTTTCCATATTTTAGGACCCTGTGACATAATTAAAAAATTCAGAACCCCGGGTTTTAGTTTTTTTAATGTAATAGTTATGGAAGCTATTTGATCGCAGATAATAACTTTGAGAAAATTTTGGACTAGAATATGTCTATAAAAGAATTTGGTTGCAAATTATTTTTATATTTGAACATAAAAATAAGAACCTGATATAAATTAAGTTTTTCCAAGTTTAAGACCTTATTTGTCATTGCATTAGAAGGGTTGTCCATTCTACCTAGATAATGAATTGCTTTACAAGCATGGTTTTACAAGCCTTGTAGTTTGATTAATTTTGTTTCGTGTGTATTAGCCCACACTATATTAGCATATGTGAGATGACTGTGAATTAGACTAAAGTAAAGTTTTTTCTTGAACAGAAATCAAGAAATTGGCGACATTTATATAAAATACCTATTGCAGATGATATTTTTAATTCAATGTGTTCAATATAATTTGTCCATGATAAATTTTCATCAATTTGAACACCAAGAAACTTTGCATATTTTTCCCGTTTTATTGTTATGTTGTTAATGAGCAACTCTGGAATTTTTAAAGGTAGAATTTTTAAAGGTATATTGATTGACATGTTTTATGAAATTAGAAGTAGTTAGTTTTTTCACAGTTTAAGGATAGTTTATTTGCTTTAAACTAAAAATTAAAGTTTTCCAGTTTTATTGTTCCGAACATCAGTTTTAAATTAATATGATTATAAAACAAAGTTGTGTCATCAGCATACATTATTGAAGATACTATAGATGATGCTTTATGCATATCATTGATGTAAATTAAAAACAATAACGGTCCTAAGATTGAGTCTTAAGGAACCCTACGCTCAATATCAAGAAAACTTGACTCTTTGCTTATTACAAACTGCTTTCTGTGACTCATATAGTTTTTTACCCATGTATACATTAGTCCTTTGATAATGTTTTAATTTTAATAGTAAGATGTTGTGGTTAATGTTGTGTTTTTACTCTTTTATTCGTATCATTCAAATTTTTTTTGACTACTGGACTCATTTTGGCTGCTTTGTTCTCAAAGTCTTTTAATTTTGGCTCGGAATCTTCACGTAAATATTTTATATATAATTCCTGTTAATGAAGTAAAGTGTCTTTCACATTTATCTAAACCAGGAGTTTGTAGTATTTTGTTAACGTTATTAAATCGCTAAGAGATTAATTCCCATATTACAGTTAAAACAGTTGATTCCCGCTAAGTAAATCTTTCATATAAAATTTTTGGCTCTAATTTACATTCTGCTTTTTTAGAACTTTCATCAATTGTATATTTATGGGTATGGAGTAGCTAGCTTTACCCTTATTATTTAAAAACTAAAACACTTTTGTAAATAGTGTCTCGCTAGTGTGATTTTTGATCTGTAGAAAGGTTCAAATATTTTCCCCTTACAACAGTATCTTAATACTATTGCCAGCTGATCTTTATGAGCAATGTCTGTCGTGAAATCTACAATAAGGCTATAATATTTCTTATCGACTTCGTTTATCTGCTTAATAATTCGTTTTAAAACATTTTTTCCCATGAGCTGCACTATCTCTTAATATACACTTTTGGTAAAGTAGATTTTAAAATTTCTGTTGTGTGGAGAGCCCCACTTTTTGTCATAACCTCGTAGTGGAAAACCTCTTAAAGAAAAAATTTTATTGCTGCTACTACCCGTTCTAATATATTGTCACTAATATTTTGCAGTTTTAGTTTTTTTAACTCTATTGCTCTTATTCAATTTTTGTGTGATTTAAATCATCATAGCTTTTTTGTGGCTATCAGATTCTTCCTTGGGATACAAGAATTTTTTGTGTGATTTAAATCATCATAGCTTTTTTGTGGCTATCAGATTCTTCCTTGGGATACAAGAATTTTTGTGTGATTTAAATCATCATAGCTTTTTTGTGGCTATCAGATTCTTCCTTGGGATACAAGAATTTTTGTGTGATTTAAATCATCATAGCTTTTTTGTGGCTATCAGATTCTTCCTTGGGATACAAGAATTTTTGTGTGATTTAAATCATCATAGCTTTTTTGTGGCTATCAGTTTCTTCATTGGGATACAATAATTTTTGTTAAGTTTTTCCAATCTCTAAAACCGTCAGATTAGAACGCTGCTGTTTCCTGAATGGGGAAATAATGTGCATGGGAAACAAAATGCTGCTCCTTTAAATAAAGCCAGGATCTTCTGTTTGACCGTTTTTTATGAATTTATTAAAAAAACTGTTACAAAAAAATCTGCTTTGATCTTTATAATTTTGCTTAGATTATGGATTTGAGCCAGTTTCCTTTTTATTTTGGAAAAACAACGATGGGTTAAGCAAAAAATGAAGAAACTCAGATTAGTTCTGAGTTTTTTTTCTGAAAAAATCCTCAGAACTAATTACCTTTGGCAAATATCCTATATTGCTTTAGTTTACTTTTTCATTAATAATATCAGTAATTTCAGACAGTTTTTCTATCTCTTCTTACATGCAGCCCTTGTCTCTGTCTTAAACAAGATTTTTTGATCGGCATTCGATATCTACGTCGCCCTCATTAGTATATTCTTCATATGTCATCATTAGCTCTACAACATCAGTTTCATTTATCTCTTCCAAACATGTAATAGCTTTGAATGATTAACGTACATCGACAGCGTTGGATAGGAAAAACCTGGTTAATTTTCAAATTTTGATAATGTTTTAACCTTTGTTCTTTTATTTTTTGTTTTTGACTACCACTTAAATATTTCTATCAGGACATTTTTTTAATCATATTTCCAAACCTTCAAAATAAATTTTAAAGAAACAATTTGTTTACAAAAAGTATGGATGTACTTAGATCGCTTAAAAATGAATTTTAGCGTTAAAAAGTATTTTACATTTATATAATATTTCCGAATAATAATATCAACTAAACTCTTATAGTCTTTTAAGTTTTTACGTTTTTGTTTCACTAATTTCTTGCTGAGATTGCATCCGAATTGCACTGCTTGGAGAGATTTGAGGAGCCTATTTACATTAAGCGCTAATTCCGAGTAAAAAAACGAAAAACTAAACTCCTTTTAGTTGCGCATCAACAGAAATTAATATTTTCTTTATCCATTTATAAGACCAAAACTTTTTCAATTGGTATAATATTTAAACAGATGATAAATTTTAGTATATAGAATGTGAAAATAGAATTAACTTATCATAGAACTAATTAAAAAAATTTTTTTGTGACTTAGCGTGTTTTGCAGATGGACTTTTCATTTATAAAGCACGTTTTGTCTAAAATATTTTCAATGATGCTTAATTTGGATTAATCTTTATTATCTTATTCCATAGCGCAGCGCAGGCGGATATTTGTTGTAGTTTGGTGCTCGGACTCTTTCTCATTGGGGGCTCCTTTTTTTCCGGGGCTCAAGGCTTCAGCCTACTTAGTCTAATGTGAATCCACTACTGATTGTAATTGTTATGAATAAACTTAAGTTTCAAATGTTTTACTTAAATTTAAGAATTGAAAAATTCAAAGCAAGTCAATGGGTTCAGGATCAAAATATTTTCTTTTTTTTGGAACCCTTTAAAGTACAAACGGATACTCTTCAAACCAATGCCTAATCTTTTTCACAGGTTTTACTATCTATAATCAACATAGAATGACATCTGCAAGAATATCCTACAAACAAATCTTTTTCAGTGAATCTTCTTGGATCTAAGTTGACGGTTTGAATCAATTCTTCTATCCGGATTCGAATACGTATCTCCTTCTGTCAGCTGCATGTGCATTGATTCAACCGTTGCTGTCTTTATCCTAACACCGGAAATGGGCACATTACTCCATGAAGAAAAAGTGTATATAGCAAGTGTTTGTGGAGCAGAGCCAAAATTATATGCAGCGAGTCAAGTGAATCTAAATGCGAATATACTGTTATGAAGTAAAATATTATTTGAATTAGAAACTGAAATTAGAAGTAAAATTATTGAAATTATGAGAACTGAACTGAAATTAATTTTAAGAGAACTGATTTTAAACTGAAATAGGAATTATTTTATAAGTCAAATTAGAAATTAAATTAATACTAAAAGAACTAAATAAAATCTAAAATAGAAATTATATTTACAACTTTAAGGTGCATAAACGGCAATTTATTCGGCAAAAAAAGGTTATGTGCATTAGTGAAGGTTGATGCTGAATATTATTGGAGTGTGCCTTTGTTTACATAGGCTATTAAAATACTTAAAAGAAACAGTAAAAACCTCTCATTACATCTTAATTCTCAAAACATATTTAATTTGATTTACGTATTTTAAAATCTGAAAATGGTTCTGATAAAAAATGACGATGGTTCAGATAAAAAATAGACAATGTTTCTGATAAAAAACTAGCAATGGTTCTGATAAAAAAAGGTCAATTTTTGTTTATATACTTTTATATGATTAAAAAAACTCGAATCAATTTTAACAATTAAATCAATTTATAACAACTTTTTTAATGATGCATACATAATTAGTTTTTTAATTCGTGCTTAGTTTTGTTTGCATCTGATTATAAAAATTGAAAAAAAAAGTTGAAATTAAAAAAAAATAGAAATTTAATCTTTCAAGTATTTAATAATTTCAAATACATGTAAAGTTCAGAAATCAACTATTGAAATTGTTAAAAAGAAGAACAAAACTAGAAATAATAAACAGGGAAACGGTGAAAAATCAAAATGTTTTGAAAAAAATCAACCAAATTAAAAGTTGACTTTTATTAAATAAACAAAGAATGTTTGCAAAAAAATATTTTCTGATGACAAATTTTAATCTCAGTTAAGTCTAAAATAATATTTACTTTTAAACTTTTTTTTATGTTAAAAAAATCTGGTTTACTCATGTTTCCAACAAACTAAAAAATGGATACTTTCTTAATTATTTTACTTGCGTGTTGCATAGGTATTATTTGTCATTATTAAGTTAGATATGCGTTGCCATGCTTTTTCAAATATTTCGTTGTCTAAAATTTTTTTTTTTAATGCTCAACATATTTATTTATCCAGATTCAGTAAAAAGCAACAACAACAATTGTGACTCTAATTTTTCACCTTATTTAATGTGTTGTGGACAAACTCAAGTCTTCAAACCAGAAAAGTACTCTCAATGCTGTGGTACAAAGGCCTACACACCTACAAAACAAATTTGTTGTGGTGGAGAGGTTTTTAAAAAAACAGATATAAATTCAGGGTGTTGCTATAATCAGGTATTAAATATATTAAAGTATTTAATAATTAAATACAATTATTGTTAACATACCCGACATTGTGCATCATATTGTTAACATATTGGACATTAGATAAAAACTATTAATTTTAATAATATTTTAAAATTAATAGTTTTAATCTAATGTCTAATAATAATTTAACTTAATAATTTTAATAACTTACTGTTATTAAGTTAAATTATATGCTAATTTAATTTAATAATATTAAATTAAATTAGCTTAATTTATTCATATACGTTTAAAACAGCTATTGATTAAACAAAATGAATACTTTATTTATCCGATTCAATATTTTATATTAAGTTTATTAGGGCTTTTATATAACAATGTTTTTAACTGGACACAATAATATATATAGTTGGACACAATAATGTTTATATTTGGACACAATAACGTTTATATTTGGACACAATAATGCATGTAGTATATATAGTAATAATGGATATATCACTCATCGATTTACTAGAACTTAACGCAACGTATATAAAATACTCCACTTCCCACATGTCACATGGGTATTTAGTAAAGTGTGAATAAGATATCACCGTTAGTCAGATACTGAGGTTTTGAATTTTATGTTTATATAGTTAAGTGACTTTGGTAAAAAGTGGTGGCTCAGTGATTGAAATATTCTGTCAGTTAAATAAACTAATGTAATCTCTATATAAAAGTATATTCTAGAAACTCAAAACAATTATTACTGTGTGCCCATACTACTCTAATATGAAGAGCAAAGCGTAATACATTGTTAGCACTTCTGTATGTTTAAGTTTATCGTTCAACTTAAGAAGAGTATTTTTAGGATAAGTGAAGTATTAATTTTGTTGAGTCAATAGCTGTTTTAACTTTCTTTGCTCAAATAGTAAATAGTTTATAACAGATATATTTCTCTCAATCTTTGTAAGATTGTTTACTATTTTGATTTTAAACCACATCGGTGCGTAAACTCACATACAATTGTATATATCCAATAAAATCTGATTGTCGGAAAGTTCTCTAGTTTGAAATTATTATCACTTTTGATAGCGGTAACAAGCAAAAACCTTTTAAAACATTAATAAATGTGAAAAAATCAATATTTTGCATAAGTATTCAGCAATAATACTGATAATCTCAGAACAAATTAACATTACAATTAATGATTATTTTCTGGTTTTCAAATTGAGAATTCATGAATGATTATGGCTTTCTAGTTTTAAAGAAAGTTACATTGACTATAAAAAAATAGGAATTTAGAACATTTTTTTTCTCGGGGTAATAAATTTTTAGAAACATGTTTCTGTTATCGAAAGAGGGACATTTACTTAGTTTTTGCTTATCAATGCTATATTGGTATGAGTAAGTTTATTTTTGATAATATTGTTTAAGAGCCATTTTCTCAGAAAACAAGACAAACATACTGTTGATTTAAAAGTGATATTCTTAAATTGCGCCCAATCAACTCGTTTCTCCGCGCAGCGGCCTTGTTCGTCAAGGTTCGTGTTTCGGAGTTATAGAGTTGAGAGAGAGTTATAGCCACGAATAAGTAGCCTCCTCGTCTGTAGTGGCCTTCTCGGCCTTGAGGAGGTGAATTAAAATAAAAAAAAAAAAAAAAAAAAAAAAAAAATTTCATATATATAGTAATAGTGATAGGATAAGAAGAAAACCTGTAAATTTTTTTTCTAAACATTTATAGTTCCTGAGTCATGGTTGAACAAACTTTAGGCTGAGTCATAGTGGGACAAACCTTTGGCTTTTTAATACTTGGATAGTTACTATTGGGGTTTTATGATTTTTAAACTAAGTTTATAGGTAATGAGAAAACTGCACCTTAAGTTTTTTTTTCATATTACGGAATTATTAGTAAAACTTTCGGGAAAAAAAATTGAGGTCATCCTTTTTCAAAAATTATAAACTTAATACACAAGTTTGTAACTTTAAGGCCAATAAATGCATTTATTGGCCCTCATTATTCATCTTATTCTTTTTGAAAATTATACATCTATTTATACACCTTATTCTATCATTTTATATCTTTTTGGATATTCTTTATAAAATGAGTATCCAATTGTAACTTAATTTGTTTGATTAAACTGAGAGGTTGTTGTTTACAAAAGTACTTATGAGTCATCAAACTGTCAAGTTCAGTCATCAAACTGTCAGCCTTTATAAGAAATCTCATCTATGGTTGAATATATAGTGTGTTTTTTTTTCCTGGACGCATACCATAGAAATAATCTTAAAATTAAAAAATTAGAAAAATAATAGTTATATGAATCGCTAACTTTAAAAAGGGGACATGTCCTGCAAAAATTTACATAACATTCCCCCTTTTTCAAGTTAGCGGTTCATTTATATACACTACCTTTCATAATTATTCGAATGACATTAACTTTTTTTAAAAATGCTATTTTTTATTTAACTATTTTTTATATTTTTGTAGTATTAAATAATTTAAAAAACATAATGGTATTTTGATTGAAATGCTTTGATAAAAATCATAAGAATAAAAATGCTAAAGTGGACAAAACTATATAAATATGGACCATCAATGATTATTAACGTTGACCTACGTGTCGAAGTTTTAAATCTTTGGTTTCAAGAAAAGATTGTCTGAAAAATAATTGTTGAATGTATGATATAATATTGTGAATTTTTGACTGTAAAACATTGTGGATGTAGTGTTAACCCAGTGTGCACGCGTCATCCGATGAACTTGCTTCAGACGTCTCACGGACATCTAGACGTCTGTAAGATGTCCGACGGACATCCCCAGGACAATAAAGAGGAAGATAACACAGGTAAATTTTGTTTTCAGATTTTTACTCAAAAGTAAGTAAAACTTTGATATCGAAAAGAATGATAATTCAAATAATTTTGAACGGTAGTGTATTTATATATATATATATATATATATATATATATATATATATATATATATATATATATATATATATATATATATATATATATATATATATATATATATATATATATATATATATATATATATACATATATATATATATATATATATGTATATTAAAATATTTATTAGAATATATATATATATATATATATATATATATATATATATATGTATATTAGAATATATATATATATATATATATATATATATATATATATATATATATATATATATGTATATTAGAATATATATATATATATATATATATATATATATATATATATATATATATATATATATATATATATATATATATATATATATATATATATATATATATGTATATATATATATATGTATATACATATATATGTATATTAGAATAGTTATTAGAATAAATAATAAAACTTTGTTTTATTTATTCTAATAAATATTCTAAGTAATAAATGTAATAATAATTTTTATAGTACTATCAAAAAGGGCAAAAGCAATGTTGTGGCAGGCAACTAGTTGATATAAAAACTGAAGGCTGCTGTAGAAACGAACCATTTAACACTGCGTATGAAGCATGTTGTGGTGGGTCTAGAATTCCTATTCTGACTTTCAAGTTAGTATTAGACACTAATAAATGTAACAAAAGATAAATATGCAACAATTTATAAATGTCTTATAAAATAAGACATTTATTGATTGCTTTTAATAAATGTCTTATAAAATAAATTTTAATTGTGTACCTCATAGTGAAACAGAATGTTGTGGAACAACACTAATTAATCCTGTAAATGAGATATGTTGTGCTGAAATATCTTCTCCGAAACTTCACGGAACTTTTACTAAGTGTTGTGGATCACAACCATTTGATAGTCAAAAAGAAATTTGCTGCAATAAAAAGGTATAACTTAGTGGATTAACATTTTGCGGTTTTCTGTTAATTTTTCATTAAAGTGTAAATTATTTATAATTTGTAATTAATAAAATTTTTTAATGTATACCATAAATTGGAATTAATTACCTAAAGAAGTACAGAATACAGTCTTCCATAAATTGGAATTAATTAAAGAAGTTGTTGATGCAGATAGCGTTAATTAAAAAATAGATTTGACAAGTAGTTAAAAAAATGAAACTGCAAAAAAAGGTTTTCTATATTCTAATATGCGTTATTGGTATATAAGGAGCGTGAAGTTCGTGGTTGAAACCCATTCTTCGGTGCTCTGCGATAAGACCGTTAGGGATTTTTTGGAATACCAAAATAATTAATAATATTAATAATAATAATAATAATAATAATAATAATAATAAAAATCAGAGAATTTTGTATTACATTTCTTACAGTGTATGTTCTGAATTATTTTTAATTGTTTTTACTTTATGGCAATTAAAAACAATAATAATTGATCGAACTTACCTTTTATTGTTATTACTATTATTATTAGCAATCCAACAAACAAACTTTATTAAAACACAATAAAAAATCTTGATTCAAATTAGTCAAAACTGTTATTGGACAGTTGGTTACTATTTCAATATACAAGGGATTATTTAATAGGACCGGGCTTTTAATTACACGTATGTGAAACATCCTAAGTGACAAACACTTTTTAACATGGTTTTTGTAAATGCAATGCATTTTAGTGAAGATGTAACGAGCAGTGAACGCCTTAACGATGCATAATAAGTTAAAAGAGTGTAGCAGATTAAGATAAAAGTACAAAAGGACAGATGTCCAGTTGAAAACAAAAAAGCCTCTAAGAAAAAAAAAACTAAAAATTATTCATAGTAAAATGTGGTAAATATTAACAGGAATATTAAACAATAGTCGAGGAAAGTCTGAGCCATTATCTTTTGTGTTAATGAAATATTGTTGGTATAAAGCATTAATGTGATGTATCGAAAGTGTCAGTGATAGAGCAGAATTATTCGTTTTATAAATAGTTATAAACATGCATTATAGATATATGTATTTCATGGAAGTCTAAAGGATAGTATGATATGAACACAAGAATACCTCCAAATTTTCATCCACAAGTGACAGTAAATGGAGTGGTTTGTTGCAGTATAACGAGAGTGAATTTTAGATTTTGATTTGGTGCGTTCGTGTAGCTAGAGTTAAATTTTATCAAAAATCCAATATTATTCAACTTCATTTAAAGAACAACTATTACCCAGTGGTGACAGAAAGGTTTTGAAAGTGGTGATTTAAATCAATTTGATATGAGTCAGTTTTATTCCTTCAATTCTTATAGGGTTTTGAGTTGAAAGTACTTAACAAATTTCAAATAAATATGGCTTCTAGTTTATATACAATCAACAGAAGGACCTAATTTAAAAAAAAAATGCTTTGAAAAACTTACACAGCAATCATTTACAATTATAAATTGTTCTGCAATAATACAATGTATGCTGCAGTTTGTCATGGGTTTTGAATAGTAAAAGTGCTGTTGGTGGCTTAGCAGATACCCAAAAGTCATTTAATCAAAAAAATGAAAAAGAAAATTATTAGTCCATTTTCAATCGTTAATTTGCAGGTTCCCGGTTCTTTTCATAAACATTTTAATAATATAATGTACTTATATAAATCATGTTTTCACAGCAGACTAACCAGCAAACCACAGCAGACTAACCAGCAAACCACAGCAAACTAACCAGCAAACCACAGCAGACTAACTAGCAAACCACAGCAGACTAACCAGCAAACCACAGCAGACTAACCAGCAACAACTTTGAAAAAATAATAGTGTTACGAGTAAACGTCTCGTGTTTGGTTATTTAGTTAAAGGGAATAATAAGACTTTCTCTATCCAGGTCATCAATGTATGCACCTCATCTTTTATAATAAAATTATGTGCCAGTGTAATTAGGGGTAGATCAAGCATTTTTTGGTGTTTGAGCTAACATTTAGCAATGGAGCAAATTCTGAACATTTATATGTTCACAATTATATAAAATAAAGATGATTTGCAAAAACTTGCAATGATTGGAGTCTGAGAACAAAAAAGTCCCAAATTTTTTTAATTCTGGTAAGTTATCAAAAATTTTGCATTTATGACCATTAATTATTACAGCATTTATGACCATTAGTACAATAATCAAAACTATCAATGTCTAACTGTAGAAAACGTTTTGCAAGTTGAAGTCATAACTTTTACGATGTACTGAATATAAAAAAATAACTAAAAAATAAAGCTTTTAGCAAGCTTTGACAAATGTCAAAGCTTGCTAAAAGCTTTCTCTAATGGATCAGTTCTGAACAATCCCAGGATAACATAGTCATTTCCACAATCCAAAAAATATTTTCCAATGTTGAGTAATCCCATAAACACATAAGAAATATATTCAGAAGTATCTTTTGTAAGTTGCTTAAAAGTTTTTGGGCCTGACTTTTTAATTCTTTTTCAGCAACCTGCAGAAAATTATCAGACTTTGATCTGTGTGTCATCTCATAACTACATGGTACATGGTACATGAGTAATGTGAAAGGTGTTGAAACAGACATTCGTTATAAAGATGACTTTATAACGAATGTCTGCTTCAACGCCTTTCACATTACAAGTTTTTCAAAACTTTACAAATAGCATCATTTTTTTTAATGGATGGGTGATTTATAAGTGTAGTAATTGTTTTGTTACAGAAAACTCGTAAACAAGTGCTTTCTGACGTTCTGACGTTCAATTCTTTCTGACATTCAATTCGTTTTGGCAAAATTTTATTTTATTAGCCAAGCTTTAAAAGATTGCCAGATTCCAACTCAAAATTTAAAAGATTTTTTTAATCACTCCATTTTGCTACATGTTTTTTTATTATCAAACTCAAAAACTAGTTCCCGATTTCTCAGTTAACTAATTATTCAAATACACTTTATGACAAGCATGATCTAACAACAAAAATGTGTTTTCATTATATCTACTCCAAGGTTTTTCTTCAATTTTATTCATCATTTTAAAAGACTTTTTTTTATTTCCGTCAGCAATAATTGAAAACAGTTTTTTGTATTTATAGCCTTTGGTTGGTTGTTAATTATTTCAACAATAGGTTTGCATTGTTTAAAAAGAAAATCAGAATTGAAGTGACTTATTGGAGTCATTTTTAGTAGCAATTCCATTAAATATATATTTTACATAGCTAACATAGTTTTGGCAAAGAAACCAGGTTGGTTAGCAGAATTTCAAAACAATGTAACGTTCTCATTAAAAAATTCATACGTAACTTAAAATCTAATTTAAGTAACGTATGATCTCATTAACGACCAACCAATACAATATGACGATGCTTTACTTGATAGAAGAACGGAAATAATGCAAGGTTATCTGATAGAAGAATGGGAATATTATCAGATGAAACTAAGTTAACGTTAAATCTCTATTAATAATAATCAAATACTTTAACGTTTCCTTTTATTAAAATATCACCACTTATCTTTAAATTAATTTTCCATAATAAAATGTAAAGGACTTGCAAACTATTCGCCAATGAAGTTGACTCACAACAGTGTATTTATTTACAGTCAAATTTTTTCTAGAAATAGTTTTTCTTAAATTTTCTTTTTTGTATTCATTACTTCAATACTAGGAAATCGATAAGTAAATACCTTTGTTGTTGACAACGCATAATCACTACTACAGCATTGTGTAGTTATATTGTGGAAAACTCTAAAAAAGTTAGTGACAACATTGTAGTTAACGATTAACAAAATTTTTGATTAGTAATTATTTTAGTTAATTAGCAAAATATGATTAGACGGTTTTTAATATGACTATATTATTGAATTCGTACGAAGAGAAGTTAAGTGAAGTTAGTTTGATGACAAAATAGAAAAATGTAATAAAATTCTTGTTGTGTTTATTGCGAGAAAATTACACATAGTACACAAAATTTTCGAAGCATAATTGATAACCTTTTGTAAGATAAATATGTTGTATTTTCCAAAAACATTAACCTAGGCACTACAAATTTTTTAGTTGTTGTGTAAAAAAAAGTTTCCAGACGTTTAAAATTTGTGTTAACTAAAATGCTATTAACGACTTTCATAAGGGGTGGTTTTGGCGTATGAGATTTCGGAGCCATCTTTATAGGGGATAAATGAACAAAAACAATGTCGATCTCAATTAATACCAGCATGTTTTTACCTTTCTTCTTAACTAATAAAATACAATGGATAATTTTTTGATAGAAAACAATTGTACAAAATGATTAATAGACCCTTTTTTGCTTAAAAACTAAAGTGAAAGATAAAAAGACATTTTGTACTCAAAACTTTTTTGGATTCTACATGTATCTGCATTCTCTTATAACTAAAGTATACTTTTATAAAGTATACTTTAATTATAAGATGTTTAGAACAGAAAAACTGACGCAATGTTGTTTGAACAGAAAAACTGACGCAATTGTGAAAAATTGAATGCAGTTTCGGACAGAAAATTGCCAGAGAAGTTGTGACTGGCAAAACGAATTTTGTTTAACCTGGCGTTAACGTTGCTTGTTAGTTATGAATATCTTACGGAGAACAAATTTGTCTTGCTGCATTGTTTAAAAAAGTTTCCACATATCTTTTATTTTATAATGTTGGTTTCAAGAATATTTCTTTTGAATTATTTGTTTCAAAAAATGTTGATATGTTCTTTCATTGTTATTATTATAAAAGACTTCCATGAAGCAAAGGAAAAAATATAATGACTTCAAAAATGACATTTTCAAAATAAAAGAAACTTAATTTCTATGTCTTGCCAAACTAAACTTATTTCAGTACACCTTATTATTAAGAAAATGTAAAAAAAAAAATTCTAAATTAAAGGAAACAAACTTTCAAATCACATTGGTGCAATGTTTTTTTTTTTTGTGTGTAAAATTTTCATCATTACCTCAACTATCCCTTTACAAAAATGCCTTCTTTTTTGCTTAATGCATCTTATAATACTAACTTAATCAGATCACAAAAGGTTTACTGCAATAAGTAATATTATTTGAGTAATGGAAGGAAAAATTTATACTGTTCCTAAAAATAACATAAATAATAACATAATATGTATTTTTAAAAAGAAAATTAACTGCTACAAAATTTATTTAAAAGATTATTATACTAAAAGTATTATATAAATAATAACAAGAAGTGTATTGAAGCAAAGAAAACAATTTTCTATCTTTACAATCTATATGCTATATTTAGTAACATATATAAAGAGGTTTAACAGAAATAAATGTAAACATTGAGAAAATATATGCTGCTGATCCTATTGAATGTACAGATTTTTAAAAAGTTCAACAAAATTCAGATGCATTACTAAACAATTCGAGATAACTGTTGATTTTATTGTTGTTTACACGGAAAAGTTTGAAAGCATAACACTATTTTTCACCTTTCCTGTTTGTGTATTTTTGTTATGACAAAATCAAGAGTGTTGAAATTAAAAATTTCAGATTGAACCTTAAATTGTGTACAGTCTATATCTATATATTTTTAAATTGTGTACAGCCTATATGCATATCAGTTTGAGGATGTCAAGTGTATTAGGTTTTAGTAACTTTGTAATAATAATTAATTTTCAAATTTTTAAGAACTTTTACTTTTATATGTAGAATTATATTTTATTTTTCGATTGTATTTCTACATTAGCTTTTTCAAGTCTTTTATTTAATGGTTTATTGTTCTATAATGAAGAAAATAACATAAATTAATAAAAAAAAAAAAAAACATATTTTTTTATCTATTATATTAGGATTTTGAAATTATTCTTTACTGTAAGTAGGAATCTTTTGAGATTATATGAAACAATAGCATGAGTTTCTTGACGATTTAGATTGTTAACAATATCCAATGTTGCTTTATATTAATTTTATTTTTATCTACTGGAAGATAGATTCTTTATTCTGCTTAAATCCAACTTACTTTTTGCATTAACTTTTATGAATACTATATGTTATATAAAAAAGTAGATATAACTTAAATAAAGTAATATGAAATAATACTTTAGTTCAATCTTTTTAATTTCCATATATCAGACGAACGGATACATTTTTTATGAAGATAACAGCTCAACTCATTAACTTAAGTTAGCCGTCTCAGTAATACACTATAGTGTCTCAGTAATACACTATAGTTTATTACTGAGACGGCTAACTTAAGCTAATGAGTTGAGCTGTTATCTTCATAAAAAATGTACCCGTTCGTCTGATATATGGAAATTTATAAGATTGGACTAAAACAAAGTATTATTTCATATTACTTTATTTAAGTTCTATCTCCTTTTTTTTTTTTTTGTATTAACGTTGTTGTAATATGAATATGAGGAACAAAATCACTTTATAGTGTTTATATTTTTGTAATACTAGATATTTCAACAAAAAATATCTAATATTCGTCTATAAAAGTCGTTTACAAATACTAAAACAACAAAAAACTTCTCATAATTAAACCAAACCGTTATTTTGTTCATTTAACCCCTATAAAAAAGTCATATACTAAAACCGCACGCTGTGAAAGTTCGTAATTAAGCATAAAGGCCGTTTTCCACAAGACGAAATATTCGCGCGAAGAGAATTTTTTCGCTATGACGAAACGCTATTTAGATTTCCACTTAATTTTTTTTGCGCTACTTTTTTTTCGTTTTCAACAGTAAAAATTACGTTTAATAAGTTTACGCTGTATGTTTAACTAAAAGCAGTTATTACTTATTTAGCATACTTTCTACTTGGAAGCATGTGAAAATTTCTTTCCGTGCATTAATATAAATTAGCATTTCTATCTTTATATGTAAGATGTAATATCATTTTGTAATACAATCATTTAATATAAGGTTTTTTTTACAGAAAATAAATGCTTAACTCTGATATAAACATTTATATAAAAAAACTGTTACTGCAAGAACGAACAGCAGGTTTAACTCTATGTAGGGTTTTTCGCAAAAAGGTTTATCTTCGTGTGGCTACTTGAAGATTTTTCTTCTTTTCTTTAATTCTTTACGGTGTAACTCTTTAATTCTTATACGGTGTAACTTTTGTAATTGACAGTGTGAAAATTTATATTTGTTAATTCTCGATTTAGTTTTATATATAATCTGGTCATTTTTTTATATAAGTCTTGCTCATTGTTTGATGAATTTACTCATGCTTGCCAATTTTCAGAGTAAGTTTTTTTACTGTTGACATCACGTAATATAATATTCAAAACTTGATTGGTTTACGCTTATGGCGATTCGCAAAAAGTCGAAATGAATCCGACTTTTTTTTTGCGAAAATTAAATTTTTACATAATTTCTTTTAAACGAAAAAAATCAGCATACTCGCCAAAAATGTTTAATCTGCGCATGCTTATCGACGAAAAAATTCGCTTCGGGCGAATTTTTCGACTTGTGTTTCGGCCTATCGCAAACTATCGCAAAGCAAAACTAAATTATTCCTTCCAAGGGTGGATCGATATAGGGAGGCTGAGGGGGAGGGGAGGCAATGGAGCGATCGCCCCCCTTTAGGTTTTGAGAAACAATTTTTTTTTTGTAAGTTTTTATATTTAACAAAGCATGTTGTTTGAAAATTGAAGTAAATTAGGGAGGCTATTTAATAGTGTTAAGAAATTTGAATAAATTTGTGGGCGGCAAAAAAAAATTGGGCTATTGGGATAATATTACTATGAATTTCATATTTACGTAGATTAAAAAAGTGTTAGAGTAATATTCTACAAATTTTAACTAAAATAGTTTTCATTGATTTGAACCTAAAAACTGTCCCAACATCTCTCTACTCTGTTCTTGATCTACCAAATTAAAATACTAGATGGTCTGGATCCGCCCCTTCTTCCATATATATATATATATATATATATATATATATATATATATATATATATATATATATATATATATATATATATATATATAATATATATATATATATATATATATATATATATATATATATATATATATATATATATATATATATATATATATATATATATATACATATATATATAACCAAGAATCAAGAAGATCGGCCTCGAAAATACTCTTTTGCTCATTTTTATAAATTTGCTGCTTTGTATAAATTGAAAAACTCACTTTTAAACTCACTAAGCCTACAGGACAATTACTCTTGATTCAAGACAATTTTCACTTTTAATCAGGTTTAATCTGCTGCAACATTAAACCTGACGGTCTCTTTGGTCCACAGAAGTTTCAGATAAAATCTGGTTAAAAGAACTTTATTTCACTTTGCCATCTTTTTCTCACTTACTCAAAACATACTAATTATATTTTAATAGGTGCAACCTAAAGTGAATAATTTGGATCAATGTTGCAACGGTAAACCAATTGATACACAAAAACAAATTTGCTGTGGTAATTATGTTAGACCTTTAATGTTTGGAAACCAGCACACTGGATGTTGTAGATTAAACAGTTCCTATTCTCAAGTTCATGATACAAGGACTCACATGTGTTGTTTAAATAAGCTCAGTAAAATATTTGGAAAAGAATCAGGTTGCTGTCTTGATAAAGTTTACGATTTATCAACTCATATCTGTTGCGATGGTATTGTAAGTAAAATTTTAGAATTAAACTAAAGTTAAATTAAAGCTCATATTAAGTTATTATATGTGATATAAAATTAAGTTGAATATATTTTTTTAATGTTTAACGAATAAAATATTTTTTAGTTCTTTTGTTGTTTGTTTAGCTACATAAAAAAACACTTATGATAAGCGAACGTTGCTGTGGTGAAAAAGTTTATGATCGTGAAAAACAATTGTGTTGCGATAAACAGCTGCACAATTTTGAACCACATTTGATGCCCAATATGTATTGTTGTGGAAAATACAAGTACGATATAAGAATTTGGGAATGCAAAAAAGATAATAAGTTATCTTCAAGAGGATTCTCTCCGATAACAGAGGCAAATTAAAAAAAATACGAGATTATGTTGATTGTATTATAAAAACTAAAATATCGAAATAATGATTTTAGTTAAATAAATCTGAGGAAAACCTCTAAAGAAAAATATTAAACTGTTTTTTGGAAATGCTTTAATACTTTTTTTAATATGTTTATATATTTTTTAATATGTTTTGCTTTAATATGTTTTTGAAAGATACTAAAAATTGGTACTTTTTTGTTTTGTTATTATTTTACATTAATTTTTGATAATTAATACAATCTTTTGTAAAAAGATAGTACTAATTATCACGATGTAAAAAGCCGGCGCAAATTAACACTAAAATAAGGTTGGATATGTAAAATATACAGTATCGGACAAAACAAGTGCAACCAAATAATGTTAATTTAGTTTTTTTTATATAAAAGTGCATTTTTTTAAATTTAAAGAAATAACTATGTAAACTGTTTAGAGACAACGTTTTTCAAGTTTTATTCATCACAAAGTTCATTATTTGTACACGAAAATTAAAATAAATTGATCAAAAGTATTAAAAAAAGTTGATTTCCTTCTGGACAAAACAAGTGCAACTCCACAAAATGTTGACCAGGCTGTATTTCGCTATCAATATTTCGTAGCGAATCCTTTGTTGTCGATCACAGCCTTGCATCTTTGAGGCATAGATTTAATCAGGTAATCAATGAAGCTTTGTGGAATCGCTGCCCAGGTCTTTTGGATTTGTTCCAACAGTTGATCATTATTACGAACACCTTCACGATTAATTCTGCGGTTGACAATCTCCCACAGGTTCTCGATAGGGTAGAGATCCGGAGATTGAGGCGGCCAATCCATCACCGATAGGTGGTTGTCTTAAAACCACTGCTTGACTACTTTTGCAGTGTGTTTCATCTCGTTGTCTTGCTGAAAAACCCATTTTTTTGGCATATTCCATTCAGCATGAGATAAGATAACATCTTTCAGGATATTTTTATACATGAAACGGTCCATTATTCCATCGATTCGATGTATTGGACCTAGACCGTTAGCAGAAAAACACCCCCAGACCATTACATTGCCTCCACCATGCTTTACGGTCTAATGACAGTAACGTTTTCCGGCCGGTCGACGTACACGACAAATACCATCGCTCCCAATGATGTTCAACTTTGATTCATCACTGAACAGGACAGTTCGCCATTTCTGTACATTCCAGTCAATATTAGATGTAGCAAACAGGAGTCTTTTCTTCTGGTTCTTTAGTGAAATCAGCGGTTTCTTTGCAGGGCGTCGAGAAAACAATCCGGCTTCAACAGCACGTCGTCTGATTGTTCGGTCCGATACAGGCAGCTCTATTGTTTTTGTATCTCAACTGATAATATCCAGGCATCCTTCTTGACGGATCTGACGATCATAGAGTCTTCTCTAGAAGTGGTGGAACGCGGTCTTCCACCTTAGTTATCTGCTGCCGTAGAACGATATTTAGAACATAGTCTTGATACGGTCCATTTTTTCACGCGATATTTATCACAAATACTTTTTTGTGACATTCTACTTACGTAATCGCCAATAATTTTCTTTCTTAGTTTCAATCCAATCGGGAGCCATTTTTGCACTTGAAGTCATAAAAATAATAAAAGTAAATAATAACGCTTCTCAAGGCGAAATTCTGCATGTGTGCTGTCACCTGTCAGCTAATTGCTCATGTCATGGCATGCTATGACTCCAGACTCCTGAACTGTTTGCTGTGGTAGTATAGTTCGTTTCGTTTTTAAGACATGTAAAATTAGGAACACTATTTTAGCATTGTTCGATGTTGGTTGCAAATGTTTTGTCCAATACTGTATATTAAAATGAGCTCGAACAGCTTACTCAATTCTCATACGCCAACTCAAACAATATGTAATTTTTTTTTTGCATATGACAACTGTATCTTTTTACAATTCATGAGCAAATATGTAAAGGAAGTTATTTTTTGCTAAATAATCAGTAAAAAACATAAGTTACTAGTTACCAATACCAATTTCCTGATCATTACTTAATTTTTTAAAGAAAATTAAACATTTATCAAGTGGCAGGAAATAATGCTTTCCCCCACCCCCTATTAATTTTTTTTTATAATGCATAAAAATTACGATTTATCAATAAAACAATTGTTTATAATATAAATATTTTATATAAATATTATGCTACAAGCATATTATGTTCCAACCAACTTTGTTACAAGTGAAACCTTTATTTTTCATAAATTGGCTGACAAATAGGTGCAGGGAGTTTGACAAATAGGTGCAAGGAGGTGACAAATAGATGCAAGGAGTGCCGCTACATCGACTAACAAAAAGGTAGAACATGAAAAAAGTGCCACTATATTGACTGAGGATTTGGTTTTGGGCAATCTATTAATTAAAAATGTTTACTTTCTCCCTAGAACCGTTTACGGTCCACTTTTATCATCTCTGTAGCTGGCAAAAATATTAAATATCTTATAAGATTTAAAATAACACATTCGAAAGATTGTTTATTTTGTTTCGTAAAAGTTTTTTTTTTAAATTTGTGCCTATGCCGAATCCAGATAAGAAAATATTTTTATTGCTGTTTATGGAACGCCTTTTTTTTCGTTACAAAACTAGATTGGGTTTGTTATTTTAAACAAATCCATGAATAGGAAAGGTAGTTTTTATTTTCTTAAATTTATTAATCTTATCTTTTTATTTTATTTAATTGTTCCAAAATAATTAAGTATTTAATTAATCATTAAGTTTTCATCATGTCTATCAGATTGATCGACTCGACTTTTTTGTTTGTTTTCCCACTCATATATTGGTTAGAACGCAACAATAGAAAATGCAATACGTAAAAATTGCGTTTATTTAAAATTAATGTTTAAACAAGAGAATGTAATTATTAGATTTTGACATTTTTAATATTTTTTTTAAAACTACTATTTGAAATAAACAAAAATTTCTATCAGAATTAAACAGCCAAAAACTACAAAAGCTAATTAATTTTAATACCGCAGTTTTTAAAAACTGAAAAAAAAATTTAAATCGAGAAATCGTTTTATCACTTAAGAAAAAAAATTTATCTGATTTTTTATTTGATCTTCATAAATTAAGATTAAAGAATTTTTTTCCTTCTGGCATTTATGAAGCAAAATAAATCTACAAAATTGTGAAGATAAAAAAATTTCTTCAGATTCAAAGTTAACGTCCATAACTATATTTGTGCATAGATTTTTTAAAAAATCTGTCTAATAACATCAAAAAAGTTAATCCGTGGGTCACCAAAAGTAAGATTTATTACTTGGGTTAACGCTTTAAAAGACAACACGCAATAAAAAAAGTTATTCCTTAATCTGCATCAAATTTGTTAAACTCAGTGGTTCAAACATTTTTCTATTGTTGTTGTTGCATTTTCTGCATTAGCTGTTCATCTTGTAATGACATTGCAGTTAATTTTTTGCCGATTCGTTCATGAATATCAAGATATTTAGCAACACATCTATCTAAACAAATAGATTCACCTTTTGTTAATTCTGGCTCTTTGTATTTAGTAGCAATACATTTTTTATGACATGCGGCAGTTAATCTAAAGTAATAATTGAAACTATAGTCATAACATTTAGTACAAATATATTTAAAAAAAGCCAAGTTAATGTTGTAACCAATTGTATGCAAAATATAATTTTGTATGCAATTTTATAACCAATTGTATGCAAAAAAAATATAATTTAAAATCATTTATTTAGTAAACATAACATTAAAAATTATTAAAAATTAAAAAAAATTCATAAAAGATTTTTCTACTTAAAACCAAGTACTATACGAGATCCAGTAGTTTTATTCCCAAAAATATAGTATAACTTTCTAAAGATGTATTGCAACAAAAATATAGTATAGCTTTCTAAAGATTGCAACAAATTATATAAAGAAGTATAATTAAGCAGTATCGGAAAATGTTTACCCAGATAAACATTTTCCGATAATGCTGACATAAACAATTAATCGATTATTTCTTAACTAAATTTTGTTTTAGCAAAGAATGGTTATTAAACAAAGAAGATAAGACAACTCTTTTTAACAAGTAACGATTATAGTAACGGAAAATTTTTAATCACAGCACCAGCAATATTTTTGTCAACTCTTTGCTAAAACTCTGTCTGAAAAGTCTTTGCTGAAACTCTGTCTGAAAAGTCTTTGCTAAAAACTCTGTCAGAAAAGTTTTTAATTTCTAGAATATCAAGCATTGCTTCAGCTTGAGTTGTTCTCCGCAAGTTAGACAAAGAGTGATACCTAGTAATTTGTAATATATTCCAGAGCCCCTCAAAAACAAATTAAAAGCTAAACCACATGTTTCCAAAAATATCTTTTAAAAACTTACCATCCCAACACAACACCAACATATTTTTGTTTCACTAGCTCGGTGAACCTTTCTGCAATCTTTTGATAAATGAGCATTCTTGTTGTTGAATTGCAGATCTGAAGATGTCAAAACTCTCAGCAGTATTATAAATTGTTTGTGTCTTTATTAGGTTATATGAGCATTAGATGTGAAAAACTGTCTGTAAATCTTTTTTACTTTTTCAAAGCATTTTTTGATAACCAATAAAAAGCATTTTGGTTGGATCTTTTTTGAATAGTTTTGTCTGATTTGCTTTTCAATTTTTTTCCGCGTCTTAAAGTTTTATTTGATTTATTAAAGAATAATAGCTATTGGTTAATTGTCTGAAAAATGAAACCTCAATGAAAACATGATAATCTCATGATAACACGAAACCTTAATGATAACATGATAATCTCATGATAACATAAAACCTCAATGATAACATGATAATCTTATGATAACATGAAACCTCAATGATAACATTGTCTGAAAGATTCTCAGAGATAAACTTGCAAAGTTTACTTATTAACTTTTTTATCAAGAACATTGTTATTAAAAATAAAAATATTGATCAAAAAAATAATGAGTAAAGATTCTTTTGAAGTAATACTTTTAACTAAAGGTTATAAATTAGAAACAAACTTATGGGTTTTAAATTACATTTAACTTATGATTTTCAAATTCCTAAAAATTGAGTTTAAATATTATAAATAGAATATATATATATATGAATATATATATATATATATATATATATATATATATATATATATATATATATATATATATATATATATATATATATATATATACATATATATATATATGAATATATATATATATATATATATGAATATATATATATATATATATATATATATATATATATATATATATATATATATATATATATATATATATATATATATATATATATATATATATATATATATATATAAACATAAATGCATCATTAGATTCACACTCATGGTGTCACAAAAATAGGAATTTGCTGGGGCTTCAAAACATGCATTGACTATCTTATAGCCTGCTGTCGCAAAGGAGTGCTGCTACATCGACTAAGGGTTTGGCATGGGGCAGCAATCATTTCTTTCAATATTCTTTGTTTTTTTCTTCTTTTTCTGAAAAATTAAAGCATACGCTTTTACATTAGGAGAGAAAAAACTGATATTAGGAAATATATATATATATATATATATATAATATATATATATATATATATATATATATATATATATATATATATATATATATATATATATATATATATATATATATATCAAGGCCTATTCTAGGAAAAAAATTCGGGGGCAGTACCCCCTCATTCTGGCAAACTTTAGCGGAAAATTGGCGGAAATCGGAAAATAACAAAATTTGCTCTTAACAACTCTTTGTTTTTAAAGTAACAAAATTAAGTACACTTAATGTAAAAACCATTAAATTTAATTGAGGCAACACATTAAATTTTTTTCTGGAATGTTTTTCATTTTTTTAATAAAAAAACAAAACACTCTGCATTTTTTTATTTTTTAACTGTTTACATACATCACCTGACAGATACATAGAACATGCGAGAAGTTTTGCTACATTGACAGATATTTATCTGTCAGGTAGGAATAGGTAGAACATGTGAGAAGTGCTGCTACATCGACATAGGGCTTTGGTGTGGGCAGGCTATCAATTATCTAAATAATCTATTAATAAATTTTTTTTTTTAAGTTTTGACAATTTATCCAATCTTGTAAATTTATTTAAAAAAAAAAAAAAAATTACAATTTATACTTGAAATTAAAGATGGCCAAGCAAGAGAATATATATATTTTCTTTTTAACATCTTCGCTCCCAACAAGGCTGCAAACAACCACTACTTAGAGTTGGAAAAAGAAGAGAAAAGATGAAGGTTGTAGAGCAAGATAACAATTGACAGACAACTAAAAAGATTGCAAATTATATGAATCAGGAAAGCGAGATGAAGCAAGTGAATTCCAAAAAACTGATGTTCGAGGAAAAAAACTAGACAAATAAGAGTTTTTGGAGCACTAAGAAACAGTCACAGAAAAAGGACGAGACTTAATAGAATGATGAGACTTAATTGAATGACGAGTAATACAAGAATGAACTTTAGTAGATGGCGCAAGAGACGCTAGCTCTTTAGAGCAGTGTCCATTACAGTATTTGTAGAAAAGAGAAAGAGAAGCTACATTACAATAATGTGATAATAATTGGAGGTTGATGAAAGAGCAGATCAATCATGCTTACAACGCGTTTTTGCACCTTAACTAAAAGAGAAAGGGCATCATTAGAAGATCTGCCCCAGATATGGTAACAGTTTTCCATACAAGGACAGATTTGAGATTTATAGAGATAAAGAATAGAATCTGGAGTAAGAAAGTATCAAGCTCGATAAAGAGATGCAGATGCTTATTTTGCTATGGAATGGATATATGGTTTCCAAGAAAGATAGAGAAGAAACCAGCATGCAAAACTTTATCAAAAGCTTTAGAAAAGTCAAGATGGCCTTAACCTCACCACTTTTATCTAATACACGATAAAACCTATCGGTTATCACTGTTAGCAAATCAGCTGTAGAACAAGAAGATCGAAATCCATATTGATGATCAGAGAGTTATTAGATTTAAGATGAGAGATAAAACATTTGTTAATTAAATTTTCAAAAACCTTGCTTATGATAGGAAGAAGACTAATGAGACAATAGTTAGACAAATCAGATCGCTTTCCAGAATTTTTGAAAACAGATACAGGTTTCCAGCAGGCTGGAAAACAGGACTATGATAAGCACTTGTTGAATAGTTTTGAAAGTATAGAAGACAGCTCTGGAGAACACTTTTGTGAAACTATAACAGGTATGTTGTCCAGGTCACAAGCTGTAAAAGAGTCTAAGCAGCAAATTACTTTAGATACAGTAGATGGAGTGATATGAATGTTAAGCAATGGATCAACCTGTTTGATGGCTAAATCAGGTAGAATGCAATTAGTGGAATCAAGACATGATATTGATGAAAAGTTCTTAGCAAACAACTCAGCTTTGTCAGTAGGTGAGGTGACAAAGTCTGAACCATACAAGAAAGGTGGAATAACAGATTTGCCCTTATTATTGATAATGTTAAAGATTCTCCAGTTAGAAGTCATGAGAACCAAACTTTTGTGATGAAATAAGAGATTTTATGACCTGAAAATAGTGAGCTTTGGCGTTCGACAAAGCCTTTTGACATAACGCCAAAGACATAAATCAAGTAGATGATTCAGGTTGTCTGGAAAGCAAGTTAGAAAATTGACTATTTAAGTAAGAGATTGTGAAAAAGTTGTGGGCTTTAATGCCTGCAGAGTCACTGACACTAGAGCCAAGCCATTCAGTGTGATGAACATTAAAGTCACCGACAACAACAATATTGGCTGATGGATAAAGAGAGAGGACTTGGTCAATATGATCAGAAATAACATATATATATATATATATATATATATATATATATATATATATATATATATATATATATATATATATATACATATATATATATATATATATATATATATATATATATATATATATATATATATATATATATATATATATATATATATATATATATATATATATATATATATATATATATATATATATGTTAGGGTGGCCCTTAAAACAACTTTTTTGAGAAAACCTGCTCCCACCCCTTAAATGTGTTCTATCTAATACAAAAAAAATAGGAGGCTTCAGTTAGTGCCTACCCAAACCTAAATGCTCAGTTACATTAACTGAGCATTTAGGTTTGGGTAGGCACTACCTAGAAAGATCAAACTACAACAAAATATTAAATTATTATTTTTGATATGTATATATATTTATACTATAGCTGATAAAGATATATTTTTCACCGACTTTTTATGTTGATCTGAATCCATATATGGTTTTTTTATAAAATAAAGAAAAAAATGAAGAAGAATGAAAAAACTTTTTGTTGCTCTAGCCCAAACCCTCAGTGAAAGTAAAACAACTCCCATGTTTTATCTAAATTAGTTGATGTATATACTGATTGTTTCATCTAAATTAGTTGATGTATATACTAAAATTAAAATATAAACAATGAAAAAAAAAACCATTTGCAAAGGCTAAGTTTTGATATTGTAACACGGTAAGTAAAAAATAATTAATTTGCTAAACG